GGGGGGGTATTATTAAGTGTGATTCTGACACCACAGAAATGATGCTCTGTAACAGCTAAATTGGCCTTTAGTATGAAGGTACATAGTGCTTTAGAAAAATTCTTCCTGGATGTCAGGGAGAGGAAATGTGTTTGTTGAAATGCATTTAAAAGCTGTTGTCTTGATTTGAATTAAAATCCATGAAATGGATTTGTCTGTTGAGGTCTTTGTTCCTTAATTTTTTTTTTGACACAAATTCACATATTTCTTTCTGCCAACAATACATGAAATTACATGTAAATATACATGCAAACGAATGCACAAAGTAGATATAGCCTACATATGTTAAATATGTACAGTTAGTCCTCTTTAATGTTTAAAATGTGAAAAACATTTTAAAAAATCGTTCAGAAAATAAATGTTTATATGTGCGCTTGTTTTTTTTTATTTTTATTTTTTTATGTGTGTTCAGCAATGTCAGTTTTGTGTACAGTTTTTAATTCCTGTGGAATCCACATCTGGATTTATCAATACTAAATTAATATTAATAATGTTTAATTAATACTTTTATTTATTTATTTTTAACGTTATATCAAATACGATTATCATTATTATATTGTATATTTTTTAACTTTAAATAAATTTAAAATTTTATTTTAAAAAATATCACACAAGGGGGTTAATCTTCAAAATACACCTCCAAAAGATTAACGTTACACAGCCTAAAAGGGCATTTTTTTGTTATGCGTAAGTTTTAACATTTAAAGAAAATCAAAGGGAGAGAATAGGAGGAGAGTGTGTCTATTATTTTTGTACATGCATGGGACAAAGTCCTGTAACGTTACTCTGCTTGACCACATTGACACCGCCTCGTGGTCAGGCGGGATTACGCACAGATTTAAAAGCATCTCTGGCGGCAGTGCTGGATAGAGGGCGGTAGTGAGCAAGCGAGGTCACAGGCGAGCGTTACAACATGGCGGCGATGGCAAACTGATATGTCTAAAATGCTTTAGCCGAAGAGTGTCGTGGAAATCAGCAAATTTCTGTACAGCGCATCTGAATATTAGCGTTTTAATGTAAATAGGGATACGGACACATTGTATCTAGCTGGCGTCTGACTGCGGTGAGTGTTTGATTGTGTCGAGTGAGTTGGATTCGAACCCGCGTGAACCTTCTGCTGTGTGCTTGAAGGAAAGAGGGAACGATCAGCCTGAGCCACTGATAAAACTCGTCAGTGAGGAGAAAAAGCCCATGTCTTTCCTGTGCTTTCCTAATGTAGTAACAAGTCTTTTGAGACTATTATAAAGTTGTATTTTAGAAGAGACTAAGACTTCAGTAGAAACATCTCTCAACGCACTAACGTTATATATTTATTTTAAAAACCGTTTTATGTTGAGTGGAAGCTTTCTACAGAGTAACGTCAAATGCATTTGTTTTGCCGCAGGAGAATTAATTACTTGATTTAATTATTGTTTAACAAAACAGTATTCTCAGTTTGCTGTAGGCAAGTCGCCTGTCATCGCTATTTTGCGCATGCGTGGATTTACTACTGAATAATTCTGGTATCACTAACAGAGAGAAGTACCAACAAAACGTGATGAGGTGATAATACCTTGGGTTATGGATATGTGTCTTTTGACTTTGTAGTATCATGGAAACTTACATTATCTAGGAGAATCCATATATTTATACGACTTTGTGTGTAAAATCAACATTATTCTGTACTTCTAGACTGTACTGGCAGGAGTTCTTTGAAAGAACGGGAATTAATGGCAGCTGCTGCCCTAAAGTTGAGTGAGCAGAAAGGTGAAAAAATGGGTTTGCCATGTGAAAAAGATACAGATGACCAACCAGCACAGATTAACCATGAGAATAAAGGAGCGGCTCAGGATTCAGGTGAAGTTCTTGACTCTTCGGAGACGCAGAAGATAGAGTCAGAGATGCAAAGGCCTGGTAAGCGGCCAAAGACCAAAACTCTCATACAGTGCTACATTAGTATCATTAAGATACTATAATAGTTTTGTCCTTTTTACTAATCTTTTTTTTTATGCATGCATGTCCAATCATAAATGTATCTATTCCCACATCGTTCTTTGAAACTTTTTTTATTGTTGTGACATTCTTAGCACAAACGCCTAGCTCTAAGGTTCCCCCAGGTATGGATCAGGAAAACCAACTTGATACAGAGGAAACCCAAAAGAAGAAAGGACCAAAGGCAAAGACTCCTGCCAAAAGGAGAAGAAAGGAGATCATTCCACAGACTCCACCACAACATGACAGTTCAGCAGTCTCTGATACTTCTGAACTCACTTCTAGTGGTCGGCCCAAGAGGAGAGCTGCTAAAGTGTATGTTCTCTAGCTGTATGCAATTTCCCAAAATCCATACTGCATGCTGTATGCAAAATGTACAATGCACACTTGCATTAAACCTGGTCATCATTATAAAGCAGTCACATGCACACAAAAAAGACACATTACTATTATTCAGTTTCTAAATTACAATATTTACTATATCTGCTGAAAGCCAATGCATTGCAGTCCTGCAGCAGAGTGAGTCATCTTTCTCCAGAATAACCAAGGGTCAGATGACATGTTCTGATCAGGACTTGAACTCAGGTTGTTTCACACACCAGGCAACAATCTTACCGTTGAGCTACTCACAAAGTGGCTTTTTCAAAGAAAAAAAAATCCACAAGCAAAAACAGATGGCAATCGAAAACTCTAAATCACTAAACAGTTTTGGCATTTTTGCACAGCATTTCAACACAAATTCCAACATCTTGTTTATTAACCAACTGCAATACAGTTTCACCTGCTTGAAAAGGTGCAATATTTTCACACAAGTGAAACTAGTCGCAGGTTTTTTTGGTTGAAATACTGTGTGTTTTCATTACGGTTTTGTCATTTTTTACCCAATAAAACTAAAAACTTGTTATATTTCATTAGGATGTGATTCGTTCTGATCAGCTGCAAATTTTATAATCAGATTTTCTTTATTAGTGCTTTAGATTATCTCCACAACCTTGCCAAGGATCTTGGTGCTCCATCAAAATCCTCAATTAAAGAAACGACCAAGTCCGGTGAAGCGGATGGCACTGACAAGAAAAAGAAAACCGGAAGGGGGACCAAAAGAAAAACTCCAGATTATAAAAGCAACTCTGATGGCGATGAGGACTTTTCCCCAGGAAAAGACGAAGAGGCAGAGAGCGACGATGAAGAAGATTCAGAGCCAGACTTCAGCTTGAACATAGAGCGCAGATTATCCAGACCATCCTGCAGACCACCCAGAGGAAATTATGTGAGTAGTTTATAATCAGATACTTTTGCACTGTTGGATGATTTTGACATTAATTTCCATATCTGTGTTGTCTAATTTTTTAATTGTGTTCTGCTCAATAGCATTGTCTTCTTCCAAATGGATTGGCTAACAATGTCATGGAGCCTGTTTGGAACTGTTTTAGTAGGACCAAAGAATTGTAAGCCATCCGCTTTTCAAAAGATGATGTCAAATTTAACAGTTCATAGTATCTGTGTCACTTGTATCTTAATAATGCTTGTCCTTCTTTCACCAAATGCTCTTGCTAGCCGGTATGAAAACTTTTCCCCCTGGGTTTTTCCAGAGTGGATTCCTTCTGCCAAAGATTGGCATTTCCTGTCTAAGAGGTATTAGTGTAGCTAAATACCACATAATATTAATGGAATCCAAGAAATCTTCATTTTAACAGTCATTTTGTTTCAATTAACAGTGAGGCTGAAAAATATTTACCCCAAGAGAAAGAATCGGCTTCTTTTACCTTTACACGGGAAAGCATCAAAGGACAGATCAAACTGCAAACAGTGAAGAGGTAAAATATCATTAGATTAACATATACATTTCCACTAATCTGAATCCCGTTCACACTGACCAGTTGGTTGCTAGTAAGGAAATTAATGACACTGACAATCGCTGTCATTGTCTCTTCTGTACAAATGTTTGTTACACAGTGTGATTGTTGCAGTTATTAATATATGAAATGTATTACAATTAATTTCAGCTAGTACAGGGATTCCCCAATTTTTCTTTGTCAGAACCCTATTGACCAAGATTATTTACTTGAAGTACTCACTGAGAGTTAATATTGGAATAATTTAACAACACATTTGCATGTTTAATAATTCATGGTTCCCTGCAGTTCACTATTTCAACAAACAAATATTTCAATAATATGCGGTTCATACCTCAGTTTGGGAAAAACTGATTTTAGATAGCTAGTAGATTAATGACTTTTCCGTTTTTTGTAAAAAAAAATGTAAGGAAATTGCAAAGTGCATTACTATTCAAAAATTTGGGGTTGGCAAGATTTTTTAATGTTTTTAAAAGAAGTCTTTTATGCTCACCAGGGCTGCATTTATTTGATAAAAAATACATTAAAAACAGTAATTGATTATAATATTTTAGTATTATAATATTATAGTATATGAAATATTATAAATATTTAAAAATGTTAAATGTGATTTACTCCAGTCTTCCGTGTCACATGATCCTTCAGAAATCATTCTAATATGCTGATTTGTTGCTCAAGAAACTTTTCTTCTTATTATTATTATCCGTGTTAAAAACAATTGCACTGCATATTATTTTTGAGGAAGCTGATACGTTTTTTGTCAAGATTCTTAGATGAGTGGAAAGTTTAAAAGAGCATTTATTTTAAATGGAAATCTGAATAATGCATAATAAAAAATAAAAAAAAAGTACTGACCCCAAACTTTTGAACAGTAGTATATGTCTACTCGTATGTAATGGTGTATGCTAATCTGCAGGTTTGAATCATTGCCACATCATTCTGAGCGCTGGGATGCTCTGTTCTTTGTGGGGGGTCCTGTTCGGTCCTTGGAGTGGTGCCCGTGTCCTGACGGGGCGGCAAAAAGACAGTATGCCGCTATCTACTGCCACAAAGACATGGATGACGAACACAAAATCAATAAGCTGCACACAGGTCCTGTCTTGCTGCAGCTGTGGGACATCGGAGACCTTCAGTGCAAAAGCAGGTGACCCAGATAAGACACTTACAGATCGGCTTTAAAAGGAAATGTTTGGTTTTACAATAAATTGGTAATTTTTTTACTTTATCCCCCCACTTCAGGCCCTCAACTGCTCCTCATCTAGCATATGCTTTGGCGATAGATGATGGATGCATCTGGAATATAAGGTGGTGTCCTGCGGGAGTGTGGGAGCTGCCCTCTACCAGCAGAAAGGTTAGAAATGACAGAGGAAAAAGTCTAAGAATATTCATAAGGATTTTGTATTAAACAACTGTACAAATGTTTTTTAAGTAGTGTACATTGGTGTAAATGTATTTCTTGTTTTTCTCAGGCTCCACAGATGCCTAGATTAGGTGTTCTAGCAGCAGCTTTCTCTAATGGAACCATTGGTGTCTACAGTCTTCCACACCCAGAAGCCCTTACAGCACACCATCAGAGTAAAGGTGAGGAAATGGTCAACTGCATAACCTGTGCTTCTTATTTCTTTAGTGGGGTTATATATATATA